AGGAAGAAGTTTCATCTTCAAAAGAGCAACAGGTGAAACCATTGTTGAAGGGAGGTCATGCTGGGCGGTTTCAAGCTACGATTCAGAGATAAAAGCTTTAATAGCGGGTCTTGAAGCAGCTTCTACCTTAACTGACCAAGACATATATATATATATATACAGTGACTCCGAGAAGTTAGTACATTTTCTGAGTAGCAAAGAAGCACCCTCTGAATGGATTGAGCAGCTCCACTGGCCAAAGCTCAGAAAGCTTATATCACTTTTTGCTAAGACACTTTTTGTTCATGTAAATAGAAGTCTAAATAGAGCTGCTCATGTGCTGGCTTATTCTGCTTGTAAAGACAAATGGTCATAAACTACAATCCTAATCAATCTGCCACTGTACAGATATAAGTGAAGCTGCTCTTTTTGTGAAATAAAAAACACTGCCAATATGAATGGCAACAGTATTTGAAAGAATAAATACATGTCAGCCACTAATCTACATTACAACTTTATGAAAACTGTCATATATTAACTACAGGTGGCACAAAACTGCCGTGTGTTATTTGTTTGAATGTTTCTTACCAGTAGAGATGGGTTTGTGTTTGTTTTGTCTCTGTTAAGTGGGTTTGGTTCTAAGAGTGATAGGATTATGGTTTTATTTTGACTGGCTATTGCTCCTTATTGTATTTGGTCTACAAGGAAGGCTCGGATTCCCCCCGACCCCGATGTTGGCTGTGGAATCTGAAACCAGAAGTCTTCTTGAAGGCTTGAAGTTCTGCCTAGAGTTGGATATCACTTCAGTTGTAAATTGTAATTGAGGAAGACGTAAAAAACGTAATTCAGGCTTTGTTGGAGAATACTATTTCTCCTCTGTGGCAAATCTAGCATCTAATTGCCAATTGCAGAGCCATTCTCAGCTCTTTCAACCTGTTCTCAGTGTATTACACACATGGTCTGTTTGCCCTGATTTTCCTTCTGATTGTATCTCTTCCGATGTTTCACTGAGTTATCCTTAATGAATCCGCTTACATTGGCTTCAAAAAAAAAAAGAAAAAGGTCTGCCTTTTTATTTTTTATATTTTTTAAGGTATAAGTTGGGTTTGGGTTGTTTTGATTTATTAGAAAAATCAGACTTGTATGTGTTATGAATGAGGAATCTTCGTTTTCTTTTATTTGTGATGGGGAGGGGNTTCAGAGGTGTCTGGGTTGTTTTGGTTTTATTTGTTTGGCGTCTAATTAATGGTTCTTGTAGTGATGTTGTAGGGAAAATATGTAATTTATACTAGTGCTTTGGAAGCTGAATTATCTTCTATTTTGAAGGTTGTGGATTTTGCTCTTTCCGAAGTGTTTTATAAATTTTTTGTAGTCACAACGACTTGGTTGCGGTGCAAGCTCGATCTTAATAGTCTCCAAGTCTTCAACCTAAAATCCCTTGATTTTACCTGGATATTGTGCAAAAAAAAAAAAAAAATTTGTCTCCTAAATGAACTTTTCTAGGTTATGTTTTTAACATTTAAATGGGTATTTGTCTCTTTCACCCTTCCTTCTCATGTTAATGCTTTAAGGGTGAAATCTTTTTAGGTGGGAGTTATGTTGGGAGAATGTGCCTCTCTCTTGGAGGTTGTTTGTAATGGTTCTCTCTAATTTTTATGTTTATTAGAGGGTGTTTGGTTTATGGTTGTAATGATGTTTTATTTGGTTTACAAACACAACTAGGCATTTTGTATATATGCATGGTTCCAAAATTAATAAAATGATTTTCTTTTAATACAACTTTTTATAACTTTCTTAACTAAATAAATATGCTATAGCATGACATGGCAGCAAGTTTCAAGATATCAATATAAGGCACCATGCATGCATGAATGTATCCCTGGGTCAGTACTGGTACATATCTCACTCACACACCAATATGACTAAACGGAAAAAGTATGTACAAGCTCAATGTAGATTTTTTATTTTCACAGTAGAGTTATAAACATTCAAAATGTCTAAAAACCCAGATTTTATACACCAACGCCGGTTCATGAATTAACATCAATTCCGAACTGCCACCTACCCCAACAGTACTTTTAGCCTATAAATTCTGACCCTAGCCCAAAAGTAAATGGTGTACATATAAACATCAATCATCCCATCAATGCTCAATTATCAAGATTAGAAGAAAGAACCATAAACAAAATAGTCTCTGTAGTTTATATATATAAACATACCATCCTTTTTCAGAAAATAAAAACCATTCTTTTTCAAAACCATATCTTCCACGTGGTTAAAATTTTATAACTTTGTTTACTTTGTTTGTACAGTTTAATTTTAGGGTAAACTCCATATATCTTTTATTTCTCTCTCTGTTAGACCTCTTTGCAAGTTAGGCTATGCCAGGATTTATCTCTTTATTAGCAGAATACATTTAGGCCTGAGCCTTCTATAAAGCCCAAAGCCTAGTTTGTAAATTGGGCAAAAGACTTTTTGTTTTTTTTACTCAATAATTAAATTGATTTATTAATTTTAAATGACCTCAAAACCGAAAAATATTGAAAGATCTCACTATATACCATATGACTTGAAAAAAGAAAAGGTGAAATAAAAAGCAAACGTACATTATATATTTTTCGCTTTTTATTATATAGAATATTATTAGAATGAGGGCCCAGCCTGATAAAAAGTTGGACTTAATATTTTAGGCTCAAAACCGAAGCTTGCAGATCTAAAAGTCGGCCAAGTTACTTGGCCATGAAATACTAAACCTGACAAAAGAATAAGTCGGCCAAGCTAGTTGGCCCATGAAATTGCCTAGAAAACAGAAATTGCCCATTCTTTATGTGTGAGTGATTGAGATTTCATCAGTCTTAATCATTTAACTTTTTTTTAAAAATTCTAGAAAATGTAGGATGTAAAATGAGGTACCAAATAATATCTAAAACGTGGGCTGTCAATTATTACATCGCACCCAAACTTTGAATATCCCTAATGGTATTAACCATTAGTGAGCAATTATGTTTTCTCAAAGGAAAATAAAATAAAATAAAACAAAATTGTCCATTATATCCCTAATGGTTAAGTGTGTAAATGGATGGAATTCGAATAGAATCAAATAATATCCGAATTCGAATCTGATTAGAAAAATTGATATTTGATCGACATTGAAAATTAATATTTGAATTTGAATTTGATTAAATATTTAAATATTTAATTCAATTCGAATTCTACCAATTAATATTTTAGGTAATTAATAAATATATTAAATAAATATTTTATTTATATAAAATATATAAATATATAAATTATTTATATAATTTAATTATTATATATAAATATATAAATATTTTATATATTATATATAAGAATTAAATAATAGATCGAATTCGGATATTTATTGAATCGAATCAGGTCATATTTGAATTTGAATTTGATTAACTATTCAGTATGATCAATTATGTTGAATTTCAAATTCGAAGTCAAATTTTCAAATGCCGTTGACACTCATACTAATAGTGTTAAGCAATTATGTTTTCTCAAAGGAAAAAAAAAGAACAAAACAAAAATTGCCCATTCGAGGATGTATGAGTGATTAAGATTTCCATCCGGTCTTAGTCATTGAACTTTTTATGGATAAATTGCCAAAATCTCCCGTCTGACTATCGCTGAAATCTCACCACAAGTTTGGTAATTGTCTAATCTCTCCTGAAATTTCTAACACAGTTATAAGTAGATTCTTCACCAATAAAAGCAACTATGCAATGTTGGTCCTAATCATCTGGGTTTTGGGAGGGGTGGACTGACGATCCTAACCCTTGTCATTTTTGTACAAAATCGCCACCCTTATACTTAAACCCACATTCACTTATAAAAAGATAAAAAATAAAAAATAAACCCACATTCTCTTATATTTGTCGATTTTACCATTGCATTACGTAATGGTCCCTGATATTCTTTATCACCAATACTACAATCTTAATATTGACCATGTTAAATTTTGTTGATTTAATTGAAGCACCCATTTACAGCTCAAACGTGATGCTCTACTCCAAAGAACGGAATGTTCCAAGCAGGGTGGGCCACAAAATCTTAAGCCCGGTCCATTACTTCCTGAAATCTGGGGAAATAATTGATAGTGCAGAGAAGTGGAATAGAGTGGTAAAGAAGAGACAGAAAATTGAAACAGCTGATCAGAGAATGTAGACTGAGCGCCCCTTATTGGATCCTTGGCAATAACAACTTCCTAATCTTTCTTGCTTCCTCTGTTTCAAATCATGTGCCATTGCCTTGATATCTAACGCTTACTTCAATAGGGCACAGGTTTATTGGTTATAGTTTCCCTCTCTAGATGACCTTTTTTTTGTATTTTGCTCTGTAGGGAACTGATAAACAAAGAGTAATGGAAGCTGCTCAGTGAAAGCATATATAATCTAGCACTGATAAAGGTCATCGATTTTTTTGTTGATTGAGCTATTTATAGTTTGCATGGGAAATAAATTTTGGCATCGATCCCATACATTGATATCCTTTGGCCTCGAAATACTCTACCAATCCGCTCTCATGGAAAAGGGTTTAGACTTGTTAATTAATTTGTTTGCAGTGCAAATGTGAAGCAGATAGTAATTTTGCACCCAATTCAATTTTGAATCCATTTGTTTGGAACTATGGTATGTATGCAAGAATTGCATTTTTTTTTTTTTTGTCTGCTTTTATGCTTATTAGCAATTTAAGTCTTGCATATATATATGTAAGTGTGATGCAAAATTTATAGACCTTCCCCAACCTTGATTCTTTCTCATATAAAGTGGGGATTTTTTTAAGCACCAAACGAATACACATCACTGGGAGGAAGGGGATTAAGGGTGGCGAAGCATGTGCACATGAGATCCACTAACGCTATGTTTGGTTTGAATGAAAGAGTAGGGAAATGAAGGGTAACCTATACAAGATTTGTAAAGATTTCCCTTCTTTTCCTTTCCTTTCCCTACTCTTTCCTTCAAACCAAACATAGCCTAAGTCAACTTCAAAGCAAAAAGTAAAGCAAAAGTTACAATAAACCCATTTGCATAAAATTAATCTTTCCTCGCCCTGATCACAACATACTTAGTCCAATACTTGGACGGAAGGAAAAAGACGTCCTAGAGAATAGAATAGCGGGGATGTTATTTATAACATAGATACGATGAGTGCTTACATCTCAGGCTGAGCCATATTCATAATTTCATACAGCACTAATGAACCAGCCCTTTGCACTCTTGGGCAAAAGAAAATAACGCAATTTCCTCTCTTAGTTTAGTTCTGAAGTAGTCCTTTAGTCTTGAAGTAGTCAACGCATTGATCGTAAATTTCTTCAATTCCATACTTGAAGCTGAAGCCTTCTTTAATGAGCTTCTCGGAAGAAAGGATCAGCTTGGCTTTTGTAGGGAAATCTCCAAAGCTGCAAGCAGTTATTAACATGAGCAACAAAGTACGTAGTACTGCCCTTGGACGGATGATTAAAACTTAAAAGTGTGTAAATAAGATGAGGGTAGGGACTCACTCAGTAGGTACTTTGTATTGGGGATATCTTTCGCTCAGGAACTTGGCAAGCTGAGTAACACTTGTGTTGATGGGGCAACATATGTATCGACCAGAAGCCATTTCATTCTCAGCTAAGAATATGTGGGCCCGACAAACATCTTCCACGTGTGCCATCGATATTGAACCTGATAGCATTTGCATGCCTTTCATACCGTTGATCAGGAACTCGTTCCCTGTTTTAAAATGACAAACATGCCACTGTGGTGAAACTGAAACCTTTCATTTCATACGAAATTAATGGAAACTAAATGGGCTTGGCCCAATCCAGATCCAAGCTCATAATGCTACGCAATTTAGGCCCAGGCTCACTACAAGAGAATCAGTGTCAGTGTCAGACTCAATTAAGGTCTGGTTGTGGTTGGGTAAGACAGACACAGCTTAAATTGATGATGGATCCATGGACTGCACTAACATTTGCATCGTAAGTGCAACTCAGTCGGAATTGGACAAGAAGTTAAGACAAGAAAAATGTTGACTCAGCTACAGACCTGTGAGCAAGGACATGGCAAGACAAGCACTGCTGGGTACGTCCAGGGTAAGAGATGGACCAGCCATGAGAGAAGGGATGATGGTAACGAGATCAATCTGGTTTTCTTGGGCGAATTTCCATGCTTCTTTTTCAGCTAGTGTCTTTGACACTGGATAACCCTGTAGATGCAGCAGAGGAGGTCATTAGCTAGAGTTCCTTTAATTAATACAAGAAGAAGGAACATAAGACAAGACAGAAAAAAATACCCAAGTCGGTGGCTTCTCTGACGTCAGGAACTCGGTATCACTCCAGCAACTCTCGTCCATTACGAGACCTGTTCCAGTCTGCTTATTAATGGAAATAGCGGCTGCCGACGATGTCAAAATCACTCGTTTCACGGACTTTGATTTCTTGCATGCTGTTAAAACGTTTAGCACCCCTTGAATTGCTGGCTTGATCATGTCATTCTGTTTCAATCAACAACATTAATTTGGGATCGGAGTTTTAAACAATTCACTCTAAAATCCTTAATTTGTTATTAACTTGAGAAAAAAGAAAAGCAATACCGTTTCGTCATTGTTGTTGAGACAGAGCAGCTGTAAGTTGCCTCAAAAGATATATATATATATATATATACAAAGAAAATAGCCCTAATCCAACGGCATTACATTACCTCAGGATCCGGAGAAGCAAAGTGGACTGGAGTAGCAACGTGGAAGACAACGTCGCATCCGGAGACAGCGGCATCGAAGCTCCCTTCATCAGTTAGATCTGCTCGAAAGAGTTTTAATTCTCCCAAACTTTGGAGCTCCAGGAGGTGAGAGACCTTCTTCAGGTTATCTACACAGTAACCCCGAAATTAAACAGATAGATAAGTAAAGTGTACATACATTAGTCTTCATTGTACCGTGAAGAACTTTTTAGTCAGAAATCATCTGTAATCAACGTTAAACCTTACCGGCCGAGACAGCCAAAAGACCACAAGAGCATGGAACTTCCTAGTCACTCTTGTGATCAAGAGAAAAGGAGAAAAAGCCAGAAACAGAGGAGGAGAAAAAAGGTATAGAAACTTCGAAGAAAGGAAGAGCTAGAAAGAGGAGGGGAAGGAAGAGACGAACCAGGGTCCCTGACAGTGGTGTTGACAGAATAGCCCTTCTCAAGCAATAATTTAACAAGAAGAGAGGCGACGAAACCGCTGCCTCCGACGACGCAGGCCGTCCTTTTTAACACCGTCTCCGGTTGCGTGGCCATGTTTCTACTATAATATAAATTTGTTTTTCTGTAAACTCGTGGACAGTTTAGACAACAAGGCCCAGAGATGTCTGCATCCTCGATACCACCAGTGTCCTTTAAATACACGGAATAAAAGTTAGGAGAAAAAGAAGAAAGAAGAAGGTGAGCACGTGATCTGCCAAACCCACCCGTAAATCAAAAATCGAAGTACTTTTGGTGATCAAATAGAAATTCGTAAAGATGCTCTGATTCTAATAGGTTACTCCAGGAAGTGTAGGGGAAAAACATGAAAGAACAAATCTCAGCGAAGAATAATATTTGTGTTACTATGTTAGTTGGCTTGTTGAGAGAATCGTAGTTCATCACGTGTCGCACCTTCTCAGGTGACGGTTAGGTGGTGCCATGTTGTTTTCAGGGCTCGTTTGGGCTGATCATGGGCGGGCCGGGCTGGAATTTGGGCCCATATCACTAAAAATTTTATAAATAATAATCAAGACTCTGGCGATTATTGTTGGAGTGTTGATGCTCGGATTTGGATTGGTCGAGGAAATCGGCTTCCTAACGAGTTGGCTAGCAGGAGGGGCAGAGGGAAGTACAAAGGCTGCTGACGCCGAGGACCACTGGAGTCCGAAGTGATGGAGGCCGAGGACTGGTGAGGTCTGCTCGAGGTTGGCCGAGGCTGAATATTTGTGAGGATGGGAACGTCAATGCCCCAAGGCGAGGACTCCAACGGTTAAGTTAGTGAGGGCGTAGCTAAGAAGGCGGACGAGGTTCGAGTAGTTCGGATGAGGTCGCCAGTAAACTAGTGAGCTAGAGAGCTTGGAGAGATGAGAATTTGGGGGCCCCTTACCTTGGGGGAGTCATGCCCTATTTATACTTGGGGTCGCTTGGTGGCGGACAGACGCGGATGGTCAGGATGTGATTCGGCCCTGGGCAGGCGGTCATTCGAGCTCGCCGCATGTGGTTGTGCCATTGGTCCCACGTTGGGGGCGCCAACTTCGGCCCTACCAGGCGTGCTGATTGGCTCCACCCTCAACCACGTGTCGACATGCTAATGGTCCTGCCTAAAGCGCCTATATCATTTGCCCCTCACTCTCGAGGTTATGGTGGAGGTCTTAGCTAAGGACCTCAGCTTTGGCCGAAGAGAGTGTCATTCTTGCTGGAAGGTAGAATGGCAACGGAGTGGGCATGGGGCGGGGCACCCCCTCCCTGTTCCCGCCCCGAAGTCAAGATACCTTGCCCCATCCCTAGTGGCGGGGG